ACTAAATCATAGAAAAACTAAACTAGGTTGATATACGTTGCATTGATCAGCTATTAGGTCCTTAACTGACCTAATTAAACATCACAAATGACCCAACATTTCTGGATTTCCCCCCCCCACACACACACACACTTTTATCAGCCCAGAGATTAGTCAATATGTCCTTTCTCTTCTTTTCTAAAATATTTCCTCCTCATTTGTCCAAGAGAAGAAGCCAGATGGAGAAATGAGGTGACATGGCTGATTGCCATTTAATCTTTTGCAATAAAGCTGCAAACAGGCAAATACTTTTATAGGTTTTATATTTCTGGCAACAGGCGAGTGAGAGTTAAGTCAAAATCATTCAGCAGTTTCTCTGAAGTGGTCACGAGGGACTTCTCCCGAGCTACCACTTTCTCCGAGAAGAGGGTTTGTTGTTGCTTAATATTCAGGAAGTACCTGGAACATTTGAAGTTATAATCAGGAGGATTAAAAAAATACCTGCTTAGATGCAAAATTTCTGATCCTGGGGATACAGACTTGAAAGGAATGCCAGCATGATTCGCTTAACACAGGAACAAATAACAGTCTATAGAGGTTGTCCTCACTTACTAACGGACAACTCTATTGCTAAGCAATGCGGTCCTAAAGTATAGTATCATATGACCACATTGATATATGATGTTTATTTTGTTGCAGCCGTTAAGCAAATGCCACGCAGGGAAGTGCTCTGTGACATGACCATGATTTGAGGCTTCCTGCTGGCTTCCCCAGTGACTTTTCTTGTTGGAAGTCAGCTGTGCACACAGGATGCTATGACTGTCATAAATGTGCAACAGCGGCAGCAAAGATGCTCTAACACAAAAATTGAAATATATTTTCATTCACACCATGGATGATGGCTGTAAAAACTAATGGAATTAGCAGACATGGCTAAATTAATGCTTTAATTAAAGAAAAGGAAGCAACTAACTTTGTTTTCTACTTGGAAACCACTTCTGGACTTTGTGCTTGAAGTGAAAAAAACATGAAAGTTTGATTTTGGGTATTGTTGACTAGATAGATTTGTTATTATAGGAATGGTTCGTATATATTATTGTGAAAGTAAAATTTGTGGCTGTAGGTTATTATCTTATTCTATTGCACTAAAAAGTGTCAGAAATCAATGGTTTTCCTTCTTTTTCCTCTTTTCCCCTACACTTTTTCCTCTTCCCCTTTTCCTCCATGACTTTCCTACTATTTTCATTTTTCTTTGTATATTTTGATAAAGTTAGAAAATTTGGAACTCAGAAAAACATTGAATAAAATATTAACAAGTAACCAAAAAATATGCAACAATTATCAAGTGTCCAAATCACCAGTATGTGACTGTCCAACATATCAGAGTTGTTTTTAAATATGAAAATATTTTTGGCATTGATGGACACTCTCAGAGTTACCGTACACTGCAATTCATCTGAAGAATATGTTGTTAATGACACTTCGCAGAGAAACAGGAGGTAGGAAAGGAAAGACAATATTTTTCGTAGATTCAGTACATCATGTTTCAGAATTGTTGAGCTTTATGAGATTGCTAACACACACACCCCAAAGATTCCTGAATAAGTGATTTTATATGCATGTATACATTTATGTGTGTGTTTGTGTGTATGTATATGCATGTTTGTGTATATATTTGCACATCCATTGTTCTATTCTCCATCCACTTATTCAGCAATCTTTGTTTTGTGTGTGTGAGTGTGTGTGTGATTCCTGAGTAGGTGAATGTAACATGTATGTGTATGTGTGTGTGTGTGTGTGTGTTTACATTTACATTTATGTATATATATATATTTGCACATCCATTGTTCTATTCTCCATCCACTTATTCAAGAATCTTTGTTTTTATTCGAATTGCATCTTAATAACAACTTTTAACAAATATTCTATATTTTGTATTCAAAGTTTGTTAAACTTGGTCCAAATTCCACCTTTTAAATTCCTTTTGGAGCAAGACTATTATTTGAAGATATTGATATCGCTTCTCGGTCTTTTGGGTAAGATCAAGTGTAGTGTGTGAAGATATTAAAATTAACTTGACATTTGGTTTTTGATCATCCCAAACAGCTTACAGAAGTTACACAATAACAAAGGGACCTTGGAGATCTTCTATTCCAACCCCCTGCTCAGAGACTCTATACCTGTGATGGCGAACCTGTGGCACACGTGTCAGATGTGGCACGCAGAGCCCTCTCGGCTGGCATAAGTGCCGTCACCACAGGTCAGATCTCCGTGGCATTTCTTTTGCGAGCTTCTCTTTCCCTGCAAACGACGAAAGAGAAGCTCCCGAAAGAAAAAGATCTTACCTCTTGTCACATTGCCGGTGTTGGAACGCCCCATCTCCTGCCGGCCAGCTGCACATGCAAGTTGGTGTGTATGCATGTCAATGCACGTACACACACCCTTCCGTTTGCGTGCATACGCAGTTTGGGTTCTCGGTGTCCAAAAGGTTTGCCATCACTGCCCTGTACCATTCCAGACAAATGGTGCTCCAGTCTTGTTTTAAAAACCTCCAGTATTAATCTGATAATACCTCTGTGTCTCTCTTTCTCTCTCTTAGGGTTCTGTGTGTGCGCAACCTTGCCCATCAGGAACATACGGCATTAACTGCAGCCAAGAATGCCCCTGCCATAATGGAGGACAATGTGATCACGTGACAGGAGTCTGCCTCTGTACTGCAGGGTATATGGGAGACAGGTAGGCATTGAAGTCAGATAAGGGGAAACCCAGATTTGCATTCTTACTATATATATATATATATTTAGTGTCACATATATATATATTTAGTGTCACAACCCCTGGTATGCCCCAATTATGGGAGGAAGCTACCAGGGGTTGGACACTAAATATATACCTTGGGGCATACCAGGGGTTGGGGCATACCAGGGGTTGTGACACTAAATATATACATATGTGACACTAAATATATATAT